CTGCTAGTGTAGCGGAAGCTAAAACCATGGGTTCCTTTAAATCAGAGCTAGATAAGATTTTAACAACTCTGAGCTATTAGTTAAGTTCTCCCCAAACGAGTTTGTTGGGCCGAATGGTCTCCTCTCGTTTGTAAATTTCTTATGTTCTTACAAGAACAATACTACAGGACAAGACACAAAGTGCAGTTGACAAAAGCAGTAACAGTACTAGTTTGAAGGAATACAGTATTATGACAGATGCTGTCTTCTAGCAGCAGAAGCGTGCAAAAAATGCAAGATTGAGGTAGATAATAATAAATAAATAATTGTCCAAACAATACAGAGAATTTGCCGGAAATAATTCATAAAGGGTATATACAATGTGTGTGTGTGTGTGAGAGAGAGAGAGAGTGAGTGAGTGTACAGTTTATGATTCAAAAGTCTGAAGGCCTGAGGGAAGAAACTGTTTCCTATATTGGTAGTGAAGGCCCTCTCTATACACCACCTCAACTGATCAGACCCCCACAGTTGTGTCATCAGTGATTTTAATGATGTGGTTTGAGCTGTGCTTAGCTGCACAGCCACGGGTCAACAGCATGAACTTTAGAGGGCTGAGCACACAGCCTTTAGGGGGCCAGGTGGAGGGTAGTGGAGGTAGCATCATTCAATGAGTAGTCGGGATACACAAACTGTAGAGGGTCCAAGTGAAGTGGGCAGCTTTGATTCTATGTACCTTATGATGAGCCTCTCAAAGCACTTCACGATGATGGGTATGACAGGACAATAGTCACTGAGGAAGGACACTGAATACTTCTTTTGCACAGGAATGATGGTGGTGGCTTCGAAGCACATTGAAATGACAGTAGTGCTGAGAGAGATGTCTGTGTGGACATCTGCCAGCTGGCATGCACATCCCCTGTGCACATGGCTGGGAATGTCGTTTGGACCAGCGGCCTTTTGTGGGTTGACTCTGAGCAGAGTTCTCCTCACATTAGCTGTGGTCAGGCAGAACATCTGGTCGTTGGGGGGGGTGGGGTGGTCTTCCTGGCTGTGTCATTCTGTGCTCCAAACCATGCACAGAAGTGATTCAGCACATCTGGAAATGAGGCCTACTTGTCAGAGGCAAGTGGAGAAGTTCTGCAGTTGGTGATGACCAGGGTGCCCTACCACATGCATCTTATGTCCCTAGTGTCTTGGAAGTGGCTGTGGATTCTCTGAGCATGTGCACACTTTGCCACTCTGATGGCCCAGGACAGGCTGGCCCTTGCTGTTCTCAGACTTGACCTGAAGGCAGTGTGTGCACCTCTGTAGTCATCCTTGGTCTCTGGTTGGGGTGTGTGACGATAGTCTTGGAGACAGTAACGTCGCCAATGCACTTGCAGATGTAGCCACTGACGCTGTGTACTCCTCCAAGTTGGTAGAGCCTCCATAGGTTGCAGCTTCCCTAAACATGTCCCAGTCAGTGTGCTCAAAACAGTCTAGAAGTACAGAGATGGCTCCTGGGGGCCAAGTTTTCTTCTGCTTCAGAATGGGTTTTGCATGAATGATGAGCAATCTCTATGCTGGGATCAGCACAACAGAGATGTCGGTCTGAGTAGTCAAGGTGAGGGCAGGGGTCAAAGCAGGATGTGGGACGCTTCAGTGATGTTTGTGTAAGCACAGTCCAGCATGTTCGCCCCCATCATAGCAAAATCCAAATACTGGTGAAATTTAGTGAGATGTGACTTTAGATTTTCATGGTTGAAATCCCCGACAACAATTAACAGTCTATCTGGGAGTCTGTGTTGGAGCTCGCTGATGGCTCCATAAAGTTCGGCCAGAACATTGTTGGCATTAGCGTTGGATGGGATGTATACCGCGACTATGAACACGGTGGTGAATTTGTGTGGTAAATAAAATGGTCTGCGTCTATGCCACAAACTGCAGCGATGGTGAGCAGTAACTACAGACTAGTATAGCATTCCTACAGCATTCTGTGTTGATGTAGACACTGGGGCCCCCTACTTGGGTCTTACCGGACAGAGCTGCATCTCTATTGGAATGAGACGTTACCAAACCAGTTGGCTATATTGCATTGTCCGGAACGCCATCACTGAGCAATATCTCCATAAAAACAAAAACATGACAGTCTCTGGACTCAAGCTGGGTAGTCCACTGGAGTTGTATGTAGTCATGTTTATTGTTAAGCAAACGAACATTGGATGGGATAGCTGGCTGGCTAGCATTGGCTTTTAGTGTAGAATAGGATCCCTGCCTGCTTTCTGCACTTCCACTTCTTCATGCACCGCTTGCGATGTCCTCTCCTCTGGCCAGCAGCATCAGGAGATGCCACGGTCTGAGCGCCCGGTCCCTGTAGCAAGCCAAGGTTGGGTAACTTGTGCAGTAGTCCATCCTCGAGGTAATTTTGTTGTTGGTATCTCTGTTTTAGCAGGGTCTGGCAGTGATTGATGTGCACCAGTTGTTCTGATACATGAGCAAATATTTGGTACGAAAGTCGAGTGAAACCACACTTTTGCACCAACGTGTTGGACCCAGAGACGCCACTACAACCACGTCGCCATCCTGTTTCTTTGGATAATGTGTATATTGCTGTGTTCTCTACTCACACAGAGGCAGGGCACCAGGCTGGTGAGGTCGTGATAATGCATGTAATGTATGGAATTTGTGTAATGTGTTTCATGAGTGTAATGTGTATATTGCTATACTCACACAGAGGCAGGGCACCAGGCTGCTGAGGTCGACATAGTGCGGGGCGAACATGTGCAGCTGCTGCAGGCAGGAGATGGCCTGGGCCTGCAGCAGGCAGTCGGAGCTGTCCTGCATAACAGCACAGCCCATAAGGCACAAGCTTCGGAAGAGACCTTCAGCTAGTGGGGTGGGAGACAGCATCAGTCAGGACATATCTGAAATCTAGCTGTGTATACTGCATTATTAACCTGATACCTGATCTTAGAGAGGAAATACAACATCAACAATTCTGATTCATTCATTATTTTAATACAAATTGAACATGACTAATACAATGTCTATAACTAAACATTACATGTTATATACAGTACTGTGCAAAAACATTAGTCCTGTTGCCTAATTTGGATTTGATTCCTTGCTTTTCCACTGTCAGTTAATTGGTGCCCAGCTCCATGGGTGTGCAGGGAGGGGTTACAAAGCACTGTAAACTTCAGCAGAGTTGCATTTGATGAAAACATGACCATGGGCATTAAATAAGGGGACAACTGAGGAGACAAATGCTTTTGGTCAGCAATTTGGTCATCTCTTGAAGTTTAATATAGGTAAACCTCTGGGCACGGGAAAGAAAACGAGTGCCTTAGAATATCTTCAACTTAAATCAATAATACATAATAGATGGTGCCGTAAGCAATTAGATCTGGAGCTTTCACCTAAAATAGCAAACTTCTTAATAACTCCAACTAAAAAACTACTGTCTAGGATTTACGTGCATCTAGCAGAATCTGATACAACGCTCTCACTCCCTACCCACAAATGGGAAAGGGATTTACTTATCAATCCAGACACTAACTTCTGGAGGCAAATTTGCTTGAATACCTTTCAAATGAACCAGAACTCCAACCTGCAGCTATTACAGTACAAAATTTTACACAGAACACACTACACAGGGCAGAGGATGTTCCAGATGGGTATCAAAGATACGGACATATGCCTAACTTGTAAGAAGGACGCACCAGATAATTACCTGCATGCTTTCTGGTACTGCACACCGGTCAACAAATTCTGCCAAAGGATTTGTGAAGACTTATCGACACACCTAGGGCATCTCATCCCACCCTCCCCCTCACTCTGCCTGCTTGGGGACCTCACTAACACTAATATAAACACGAATAAATCTTGCATGCTTCTCACAGTACTAACCATTGCCAAGAAAACAATCCTTCTGAACTGGAAGTCAAAAGAGAATTTAAACATAAATCTGTTCAAAAATCTACTCTTGGATTATGTTTCCATGGAGAGGATGTCTGCCTGTAAGAAATTAATTTTGAAGATAGTTGGACTCCAATAATTAATTTTTTAATGTAATGTTGTCAGGGGTGGTGGGGCCTTGCCCTCACCGTCCCGGGTTGGGGGCTGGGGGCGGCGGGGTTGTTGGGGTCCTCTGGTGTTCCTCTTAGCTGAGGGCGCGTGGTCAGTGTCTCTGGGTGGCCGCTGGCCTTGCCTGTTGGGGTCAGTGCGGGGGATGGGGGGTTCTGCCCCCCCAGGGTGGGTGGCGGGCTGGGGGGGGATCCTCTGGGTTCCGCCTGTGCCGCTGCGCTGGGGTGGGTGGGTTTGGGGGCGTGGGCTCTATCTGCTGGGGCCGCTGCTCCGGCTCCCGGGCAGGTGGTCGCCCGCATGCGGGGGGGGGCCTGGTCTGCCCGGGCCCGTTGCCTGGTGGGGGCGGGTCGTTGTCTGCCGTTGGCGATTCCGGCATGGGGTCCTCGGGCGCTGTGGGGTGGTTGGGGGAGGCAGTGGGGGGAGCCTCTGCCTCGCCTGGGGGGGGGGGTCACCCCGCCTGGCCGGACCGGCTCCCCGTTTACCGGGGGGCCTGGGGTTCCCATCCTTGGCTGCTAGCAGGGGTCTCATCGGGCGTGGTGGGGCGGGACTCTCCCAGTCTGCGCCTGGGGGGGGGTTCCCTGCTGCCGGGCTGCCTGTGGCGCCCCTGAACACCCCGGTTGGCCGCCCCTGCCGGCTCGGGAATGGGGACTAATCGGGGCCAGTCGGGGATCTGGCTGCGGTGCCAGGGGGGTCCACTCCTGGCACGGCCTTATTGCTCCCCTGGGCCCGACACCACATTTCACCCTTGAGGGGCAGTGGGGAGGTGTGCCGAGACGCTGCCCCTCAACTTTTACTTGCTTATTAGACACCAAATGACACTAGGGCTGAGGAGGTGGGTTGAGGCAGGTGGGGCTCTGCCGTCTGCCAGCGGTGGGGTGCCCGTGCCTCAACTGATCACCCACTTTTTGCACTTTAGTCTTATACACAGTCCATATTACATTAGGGCCTTGGGGGTACGGGGAGGGGGATGGGGGACTCTGCCATCTGCCAGTGGTGGGGCCCTCATACCCGAACTGCACCCACTAATTTTAAT